AGAGCCAAATATTAGGCAACATCTTCATGTTTGCATCTGAAAAGTGTCTGACCATGTTTGGTCAGAATAACAGTCAAATGTTATGTAACACCATGTTTGTCTATGCCTATAAGAAGAATCAGCATGTATCAGAAGGGGGGATTTGTTGGTGAATGTTCAGATGAGATTCGTTGTTGGACCTGTCATGGTCAGAAACCTTTAATATAATAAATTCCCCGAGACAGAGAAATGTGTCCTGGTCTGCCTCATTTGTAGATATCTCTTTCTACAATATAATTGGTGATCGCTTGGGCCTGGGGACCAGGGGGGCTGGGTTCCTCCTCTGGACTAGCTGTGCAAAGTGCGTAACAGATAGGAAATTTTCTTCCTATTAATGCACATGCTTGTCCATTGCTTGCGTCCGGCCTCACCTGGTAAGCACTGAGGTCCTTGCCAAAATTGAACAAAAGGCAGTAGGGACGTTGCTCGTTAGATTCTGCATGCAGGAACAGCTGCTAAATTAATAAAAACATTGTGCTGTGTACTTGTATAGAATTTTAAACATAGGATTAGGCAGCAGCTGTAACTGTCCAGAATGGAAAAGTCTTAGTAGGCTCTGACTGTAGATTGCAGTAGTAGACTGTATATTGCAGTGGTGTCTGACTGGACAGAGTGATGTGTGAAAATGAGATATAACACAATGGTGAGTGTGTGTGTGTGAGCCGGCTTGCCGAAACCCCCGGTAGTGTAAAAGAGATAAGAGATAAAAAAAAGAGAAGTGTGGTGAATTAAAAGCCGAACTGGAATTGGGTCTTCCAACAAGGTTGGAATCGACGTATGGAGCGACGTGCACTTTAGTATGCAAAAGCTATGTGGGATACACATTACGACATATAAACTCATATAACCACTGTATATATGTGTAACATGTAAAGCGGCCATTGGTGATGAAATGTATTAGTCTATAACTCTGGGACGCCCCAGAACGTGATTAAAGTAGCTGGAGATAGAACAATTGATATTTGGCTACTGTGTGGAAAAAGGCTTGTAATCGGTGTTAGAAGAAAAAGTACCAAAAGTGTGGAAAAATATGTAAATGGTGTTGGAAGAAAATATATCAAAAGTGTAAAATTCTCTGGTAAGTCTTAAAAATTAATCTATTTGACTGGTCTCCCTGACTGATCTCTCTCTCCCTCTCTCTCTTCCCCTGACTCAACTAGGACTTTGTGTTTGAATGAGTGCCTAAATATTTGTGTGTGAGTGTGATATATATTTCAACAGAGCTAAAGATTTAAAAGTGAAGATTTGCTTTTTTCTATGTCTGATATCTGTGGCTGATATTTAATTCTGATATCTGTTTTAACAAAGCTGAAGTTTTAAAAGTGAAGATTTGTTTTTCTGTGTTCAAATAATAAGCTTACAGGGTTCGATGTAAAAATAAGTTCATGGTAGTGCATTAATTTAATTGTACCTCTGAAACTGCATCGTTATTGGGTTTTTAAGACGTTGCTGAAGTTGTGTCGCAGTAAGAAAAGTTTGGAGCGGGCCCCTTCCTCTTCCAACATGACTGTGCACCAGTGCACAAAGCAAGGTCCATAAATACATGGATGACAGAGTCTGGTGTGGATGAACTTGACTGGCCTGCACAGAGTCCTGACTTGAACCCGATAGAACACCTTTGGGATGAATTAGAGCGGAGACTGAGAGCCAGGCCTTCTCGACCAACATCAGTGTGTGACCTCACCAATGCGCTTTTGGAAGAATGGTCAAAAATTCCTATAAACACTCTCCTCAACCTTGTGGACAGTCTTCACAAGGTTGAAGAAGAGTTGAAGCTGTAATAGCTGCAAAAGGTGGACCAACATCATATTGAACTCTGGGTTAGGAATGGGATGGCACTTCAGTTCATAGTATGAGTCAAGGCAGGTGAGCGAATACTTTTGGTAATATAGTGTATCTCCTCTTTGGCCTTCCTCTCTTTCTCCTACCTGGTAGCTCCATCTCTAACATTCTTCTACCAATGTATCCACTGTCCCTCCTCTGCACATATCCAAACCATCTCAATCTGGCTCAATCAATCAATCAATAGGCTCACATATCCCAAAGAATAACAATCACCATTCATTAATCAGTATATCAGTATATATTAGGCACTGGAGTCAGATAATCAAGCACAATAATTACCAGTATGTAGTTATCACAAAGAAAATAGTTGGCTAAGGGGATAAGGAAGAGAAATGGTCTCGGTGTGACCCAGAAGGTCGGTCGCCATTAATGGATGATACCATACAGCGGGGATTTTTTCCTGCAAATGACAGCCAGCAGGTTTTTCACTCCTATACACCAGAGATCAGGAAGAGTACTTTGGTTCACAAATAACAAAAAAAGTGATTTCAGGTGGGATATGTGGTAGAGAAAATCTACTATGTAAGGACCAGAATAACAGGAAACGCCAAGCACTGACAAGAAGAAGCTGTTGCTATATTTTGACATGTTTATTAGGTCAAGTTCACCATGTTATTTGGTCACTCGGGAGAGTTGAACAACTACAGCCAAATAATAACCAGAGCCAAATATTAGGCAACATCTTCATGTTTGCGTCCGAAAAGTGTCTGACCATGTTTGGTCAGAATAACAGTCAAATGTTATGTAACACCATGTTTGTCTATGCCTATAAGAAGAATAGCATGTATCAGAAGGGGGGATTTGTTGGTGAATGTTCAGATGAGATTCGTTGTTGGACCTGCCATGGTCAGAAACCTTTAATATAATAAATTCCCTGAGTCAGAGAAATGTTTCCTGGTCTGCCTCATTTGTAGACATCTCTTTCTACAATATTTCCTTCATAATATTTCACCATTTTTGTCCGTTGACTTTAGCTAGTGTGGTGTCAGCGAGGTCATTGCGTTCTGCAGCAGAGTTTGGTAAAGCAGTTGTTAATGTTTCCATCATGGAGTGAATTTTCCATTAGAGAGAATTTTCCATGCTTACTTCACTGCTGCTGCTGGTGCGGTTGTTGTTTCACCCTACAGGTGATTACTGAACAACAGTAAATACATGCAGATGCTGCAGCTGTGCACATCGTAGTGTTGCAGGAGAGTTAGAACTCGTTCAGTTGTCTCCACTGATAGAGTCATGTTTGCCCAGGTCTGTCTCCCTTTCCTTTCCTTTCCTTTTTGTTCTTCATTGAGCCACGCTCTTAGTCAAGGCCCAAAAGTTGACCCACACCAGACTTTAAATCTAATAATTTCCAAACTACTACCTGAGTGTGCCATTTAGGCTATGCCCATTCTCTATATATCAAACTTTATCATATCTGGGCATCCATACCTGGTCAAGTCTGTTGGTAAAATGTATAGCTTTTTAGAAACGTGTCTTTTTACAACTATTTAAATATCAGCATTCAATAGTTAAAATAACACTGGGGAAAAATATTATTTTCTAATACTATGGGTCATTTAGAAAATCCAGATCTTCAAAAATCAATGAGAGGCAAACAATGAAAGTTAAAACAGTGTGTAATTCAATGTTGATGCTGACTCATATGTGCTGTCATATTCCACATAATGACGAGAATGGTTCAAACATTGCAAAAATGGCACCATGTGTTTTTGTGGAAACAAGTAAATTAAATCCGCCTGGAAAATCCATGAACTGATGGATAAGAAAAAATATTGCTTTTATTTTTTAGATTTTCTAGCATTTTTCTCGCTCTTGAACTTTTGAACTTGTTCTTGGTCCAGGGAGCACAGACTGCAACATTGGATGTTCTACACAACGTTCTGCCTAAATCTCTTCAATAACAATAGTAGTAATAATAATAATCAAGCCCCTACAACCGACACAAATGGCTGTCACCAGAGAAGGAGCCAAGTATGAGGTTGCCACTCAAAGGCTGCCACGGGAGACACCATTATGGATATGTGGTTCCTCCAGGGAATATAGAGCAATATATCCTCTTCTGTTGTTATCAACAACGCCAACATAATTGGCTGAGATGCATTGACTTGTTTAAAGTCCACACACGGCAGTGTACAAACCTTACTGTCACAGCTACTTTTCCATTGTAATTACAGGAGAAGACAGACTCAGTAACAGGCATCAGTAGTAAAGTACACAGCAAAGGCTACTAATGTAGGTGTTACTTTTATCCTTCTTCATCACTGTAACTGTAAACCAGGCTTTTTTCTCTTATATTATTGTTACAGATAGAAATACACACCACTATTAAGCAACAACTGATTCCAGTAAGATTTGATTCCACCACCGCTTTACAACCCAACCTTTGTAGTTGTCTATAAATAGCTACGGAATATATATGTTATAATCAAAATGAGAATCAGGTTTACACACGAGTAAACGCTCACATACTGTGCACACACAACCTCCTGCCGTCAGCTGTGAAGCCAATATCCAAAGGACAGAAATGTTGTTTTACATATGTTCACAGCAGTTGTTTCAGTGCAGACAGTAGGGAAGACTGCTGCACATCAATGGTCCAGTTTATAACCAGAATTAAACATCAGCCAACAGCAATGTTCTCACATCAGTCAAGCTGTTTGACTGAAAACTACGTTTCAGATTTTTACCAGAACAACCTTATCATGTTTGTCAACTAGGATCAACTCACTCATGTATTTAAACTTATCAAGAACTAATGGTGGTATTGTTTGCAGTTTTACAGGTCAGTGGTCCTTTTTATATATTTATAAATTCTATATTATTATAAAATTATTTTTTCCCATTTTTATGAATCGGAATATTTCGGAACATTTTGGAGAACTCTTATTTAGCCAACGCTTGCTGAAACCTCAGCTCTTTGCTCAACAGAATGTCTTCATTTCTGTTTCTTGTCACCTTAACTGCACTTGCTCCGACGCACATTCCGGCTGATGGCTCTTTGTCTGCATTCCATTTCAGTCTGCCACTGTCGTCATCACAGAGTGATGGCTGTTTTGAAATACTGGATGGCCCTGTTGTAGAGTAATTCACACCGCAGTGCTGTTGACCAACAGGATTTGGTAACAATAAGGAAGCGGTGCCAATGATGTCATGTCCTGGTGACGAAGTAATTCTTCATTAATCATGTTGAAAGATGGGCTGTTAGGGTTGAAGATGTGAGAAGAAATAAAGTGCAGCTGCCAGAAAGAGCTGATGTAGCACAGTATATGCTGATGACTTACATTAATACTTGGGTATAGGTGCGTAAGTAGATACTGTGTTTGATTGGCCATGAGCACTAACTGATTAAAGACCACATGTCTAAATAATTGACTAGAAACATGGAGTTTTAGTATCTTACATGTCACTGACCAGCGTGTACTAATGAGATCATTAATGCTGATTATTTTTCCTGTCTTTCCTTCTGTGTGGCTGCAGGACTTGTATGTGTTTGCAGTGTACTTCATGCACAACCAGCTGTGTTGGCCAGCTAAAGCTAGTTACACAGTGGAGATGAACGGCCAGGACTCTCCAGACTCTGCCTACCCTGGAGGGGGACCCACCACTGTGGGAGCCGATATCAACAAATCCACTCAGAACCTCATCAGTGCCATGGAAGAGGTACGCCACACACACATACACATGTGCAAGAGGACTATTTTATGAACTGTATATACACAGATGTCAACTCTATTGACTTTTTTAGACAATCTTTTCTCAACCCATTATATCATTTCTTTCTGGTGAAATGTGATGACAGTTCCATAATACATATTATATTATGTTTTTGTTTTTTTTTGGAAATAAAGCAGTGGCACCATTTTTCAAATATTCATCAATACTGCTGTCATGCAGGGTCACATGGTTCGATCACCCATGTTCTATTCTGTTTATATTGATTCTCTCTTTATATGAGCAGGAAAATAAATGTTTACTTTGATATTGATTTAAATCAAATGCATGAATCAACCAGCAGGTACTTTGGTCTGTCTTTGGACTTTACTAATGAAAGGTTATTTTTATTTATGTACACTCTCTGCTTGTATTCTATACTTTAATCAGTTGTAGGTACTACCACAGTCCTGATAAGGACTTTTACTCCCATAATTCCACTGCTTCCGGTAAATCCACATACGTCACGATCAGTGACCTCCGCAACCTTTAAATTGGGGGGTCAGCCCCAATTTCAGTCTCTCTGTTCAGGACTTTCTCTCCGTGGGACCCCTGATGAAAAGAGAAACCTGCTCGTCTCAGAAGAAGAAGAACCAACGCGCTTTTGTAGACACTATTGCCCACCGTGATAAATGCACTAGTAGCATCTTTTTCTTAAGCCTTGTAAAGTCCTTCGGGTCCCAATATGTCTTAGTGTCTGTGTGTATGTGTGTGTGCATGCATGAGTATGCGTGCGTGTGCATGTTCCTGTAGTTCATGACTTGTGCCAACTTTTCCTCACATTCATTAATACTCATATTCTGGGACAAGATGAAAATCCTTGCAAGGACAAAGGGTGTGTACAAAAACTCGAAGGACTGCACAATGGTTAACTGAGTTAATCGGTAATTAAGTTACACAAGTAACGTAGCGCTGTGACCAAAGCAGTTATTGAAAAGTTTAGAAGCGACAGGATTCCTTCTAACAGTAATCGTGTGAACCAGCACATTGACAATCAGAGACTTTTCCTCCCAAAGCGGACTTTCGGAACCAAGAGGACTCTCTGCACACAGTGGAACCAGAAGGACATCCCCAACTCTGGCAAGGACCCAAGAAGTGCGGACTTTCCACTACCTTTAAATACGAGCAGACGTTCAGTACAGTAAGGCTGGCATTTGGGCATGTTAGCTTTATCTTTAATATTGTTAAGTGTTATTTAAACTTAAGGACCGTTTAATTGTGCACATTGAAACACTGTTAATGTTATCGAATCGTGTTATTTCAAATAACCTGTGCTTCTTTTATAGCTGGGCTGTTGCATGCGCTATCTGCTTTTCTAACCTCCTCACTCAGTGTCACAAACTCTTGTACACTGCCAACATTTCAGTGTTAACTTGTGACGTTATAAAGTATTGGGATCAGGAAAACTCCGACAAAGTCCTTTGTCTTGAGTAGACCACGCGGTACGCCTCCCTTCCCCCGTATACTTTTATTACATCACAAGCATTGTTTTATTGTACCTGAGCACATTTTGGTGCGCGTACACAACCCCCTTTTAGGAACAATACCCAAAAGATTCACCTCAGTTTCACATAACTCAAGGACTCAAGGTTCTTTATTGTCATTGCAACACATATTAGACATGGGATGAACGAAATTAGTTTCCCTGGTCCCAGATCGAGTAACAAAGAGGCAGGTGACCGAAACCGTTCTGATGAGAACCACAACGACCCATCAGACTCTTAACGACTGTTTACACTTTCATAGTTGACCCCAAGGACCCACCCAACAGGGTGGACCTGAAGTAGCTTTATTCTTTCACACCTAGAGTATATATTTGCTGTACTCCCCACCACCAGTTAGAACTGAAGAAGCCTCTTGGATGAGAGGTGAAACGTCTTCTTTTAGAAAATTCACGTCCAGTTGCCTAACAGAACTTTTCAACCACAACCCCCTTTCACACCTCCGTGAGTGTATACACGCTTCGCATGATTCCTGTTGCCGTCCCTTCTACCTCGCAGTTCTTCTTCCACTGCGCAGTCGCGTATGTGAACACGCCTCAAGGGCTCAGTCGCTTGCTTGGTAGCTAAGAGGCAACATCTCTCTCTCTTTCTCTCTCTTACATGACCACTCGTGTACACACGCACACAAGCAGGCACACACACGCACCCACACACACACTATTGTGCCTTGTTTAGTGTTGGTGCCGAAAAAATACGTTATTCAGCAACCACTATTGTCATCTAACTGCCACAGATAAAATGACCTGAAAAGAACCACACCTGACAACGTTGTAAGTTTTACTCGCTGCGAGGGGGAGCAGAGAAGCCAACAGCTTCACAGAGTTGGCTCACCTAAGTCCCAAAGTGTATGAGGACTGCAGCTCCTTTTATTGAGAAAGTTACATAAGTACTGAGCAGTTGTTTTTTTCATTACGTATATAATCTTTGGGCAAAGTTCACACGATTCACATAAATGATGAGGAACAGACTTCATCCTTTGTGGACCACATCGTAAAACATTTCTAGGAGTACGTACAGGATATTTCCTGTGCAAAGCAAGATCTCCTAAAAAGGGAGTTCTTGAAGGACATTTCCTGTGCAGAGCAAAGTCTTCAAAAAAGGGAGTGCGTGTTCCTGACAAGCAGATTATGATTTACACACTTTGATTTAACACCATTTGATAACTAACTATAAATTCTATTTACATTTAGTTTATGTCTAAACTACTATCATTAACATGATAGGGTTGTTTTAATAAATTTGATTATTTATGTAAACTGTTTGTCTGTGTTGTTACTTTATTCTGTCATGTCTGTCTGTTTCCTTTTCCTGCTGTCTGCTTTGTGGGGTAATCTGTCTGATCACACTCACCTGTCTGTAATTAGCCTCACTTGTGTCACCTGGTGCTCCCTGTGTATATATACCCCTCTCCCTCACTCAGCCCTTGTTGGATCATTGTGTTAGAGCAGTGTGTAAGAGCAGTGTGTAGTGTCATTGTGTTTGACTCCTTGTTCTGTAGCAGTTTGTGAGTTTCCTGTTCTGTGTTTCCTAGTATTCCGTGTTACTCGAGAATTCCATGCCTGGTAGTTCTTCCTGTTTTGTTAATTTGGACTTTGTTAATAAACTACCTGCACCAGTACTGCATTTGGATTCAGCCTGCTTCCTGCTATGTCGTTGGCCGCACGTGACAGAATGATCCAACCAAGACTGGACCCAGCGTACTGGGAGGCTCTCCTGGCAGATTTCGGTGCCACGCAGCTAGAATGGGAGAGAGTGGAGGCACAGTTGAGCGCTCTGCAACCTGACCACGGCTTAGCATTCCCTGCAGCAGCCTCTCCATCTGTGGGACCTGTTTTTCCCACTCTCCCAGCCCCTATGTTGGGACGTCAGGAGCCGTCCCTTAAAGGGGGGG